ACATCTGTTTGGAGTATGTATTCCCCTCTTTTGTAGTTGGTCCACAGTTAATGCTCTTTGTGATCCTGCTATCCATTTTAATTCATTTTATTACCTAAAAGGAATTAAATCGTTGATTCATTTTATTACCTAATTTGTTGGATTGGATATCAATTTAAAATTTCATATGGTGAGCTCCCATTGGTGGGAAGGTGTTAAGGGGACAAACTATGACATGTCCCCACCCTTGATAGTGACATCTCATTAGGCTTGAGTGTGGGATGAACTTCACATTAATGAACCACATGGGGGGCACGCCCCACCCATTTGAGGCCTAATGGTGAAGCAACCTCATCAAAGGTGAAGATTTAATGTTAAAGGAATCAATGGTTGCGATGAAATAATTTTTTAATATAAAAGATAAAGGGCACATGTTAAATTATTAAAAGTGAATGAAGGTGATATGTGGGTATGATGATAAGGGTGTATGCACTAATCATCATCCATGTGATAGCCATCAATAATGATTAATTATGTTAGATCTTTAACCTCTTTCAACCCTTGGATCATTCTATGAGTGGATGAAATCAAATCAAGTGTTTACTTCTCACATGAATTGTCTATAAAAGGGGGCCTTCTCTCATTCATTTTGTACTTAATGCTTAATGAAGTAACACACCAACCCCACTTTCCCATAGGCCTCACACCCCACCTAACTTCTCTCTCTCTCTCTCTCTCTCTCTCTCTCTCTCTCTCTCTCTTTACTTTGTTGGATAGAAATCCCTCTCCCTTGATGCACCACTTCCATTGTAATGGAAGTGAGTCCATCATAAGCTCCCACACCACTATCATTAAATGATGACTTCCATTTCCAGATCCTCATGCTGCTGGAAAATAGTTAGATCAGTGAGGTATTTGCTCTCTCTCATAAGCTCCCACACCACTATCATTAAATGATGACTTCCATTTCCAGATCCTCATGCTGCTGGAAAATAGTTAGATCAGTGAGGTGTTTGCTCTCTCTCTCAAGTTGTTTGGTTAGAAGTTCCAATTACTATCTCAATTTTGTACACTAAATTAGTGGCCTTTTTGACACTTAATGCTAACTGTAATGTTACTGGAAAATCATTTATATCATGCATAACAGTGGGCATTAGGTTCATCTAATGAACCTAGTTCATTCCTTTTGAGCCCATGGTGGCATAGAACTTTGAGAATCTTGGTTTGACTTTCCTATCCACTGATAGGTTATCTTGAGTCCTTTTTAATAATTTCTCTCAGTATGACAATATGAAATGATCTTACTGATATGTTTCTGATAATCTTGATTATGAGACTTTCTCCCAGAATTCTTTGACAACATATTCTGTCTCTCAAATCGGTCCAAGCGGGTTATTGGCAATATTGTCAAGATACAGTCTTAAGAGTATTATATCATCCCCACTGACTTTAACATTCATATAGTAATCATCCTTTAAAAATTCTCATTGGTCAGTGTATCATGAAATCACATAAATCACCTTCTTGATGCTTGTTTCAAGTCATAGAGAGATTTGAACAACATCTATACCAAATTTTCCTTTCTTTCAACTTAAAATCCATCAGGCTTATCTTGGGTAAGAAGAACTCTTCTTTCAACCCACTGTGATCCGATCGTCTTGCGATTCGGAGAAAGACAAAGCATCTCCACACTTTGCTCTCATTGATTGACTTTGTTTCCTCTTTCATGGCTGCCATTACATGTATTTAGGACATCTTATGGCTTTCTAAAAGGTTCATCATTTTCCATGTTACTAACTTTCTCACAGACTGCACTTAAGCAGGTAAGGAAAAACAGGGGGGTCATCTCACTCTGGGTTTTGAGTTTCAAGTTGGGTAGAGGGTCCCTGGCCCTTAACCTCAAGTAAAATAGGATACTCATGGGTGTCACTCTTTCTTCCAGGAATTCATTTTAAGAATATGTGTATCTAGACTCTTAATGACCGTCCCATTGGACAAGTCAGAGAATCTTTAGCACTTAACAGGGTTTTGGGTAATGAAATCAGATTTTGGAGTTCAACATGGTATTGTTTGAGATGGGATTTGGACATAAGGATAAACAACCTAAAACTTTGAGATGACATAAAGATGGAGGTTTTGAGGTGGCAAACATTCTCTTATATCAAGTTTATATGAGTGGACTATCTTCTAAATCTAAATAACTCTATGGACCTTATCTATGAGAGGTCTTAGTCATTTTCCATCAAAACATTTTTCTCACGAGACTTGGAAATCATTGTCAATACATTATGAAGTCTCTCCCGCATTTCATTGCCTACATGGCCTAATAATTTTGTGCCTCTCATCTGGGGAATTGACATCTATTAGGAACAGACCATTTTCCAGATAGCTCATAAAAAGTATCAAGACCAATGAGGTCCTTGCCATAGACACAACCAAGAACCTCACATGAACAAAAACGAGCAACTAAGGCATAAAGCTAAAAGAAAAGATGAGATGCGTGACGCACCCAGGTGCATATTAAGTATCCCTAATGTAATCTCAATTCCTAGTTCTGGTTCATCCTAATTTCATATATGCAAATCTTATTTTCTTCCCAATCTAAGTTAAGATATATATTTCTTGATTGGTGACGTGCACGGTTGCCTCATAGTCCATACAACATGTAGTCGTCCCCTAACTCACTTATCATAGGTTAAAAAATCCTTCTTTTATTTTGAACCTTTTTCAGATAGTGGAGGAACTTGGCAGGGTACTTATAGAGATTCTCATTGTGCAAACTTCTTTTGCTCTTAAAATACAGGGTAATAAAACAATTCGTTTCACCGGGACAAGGAGCATTCAATTTAATTCTCATTACATCATCTCTCAGGTGGGAAGACGGAGACCTATCATATGGCTTTTTACCCTTGCAGTAGCTACCTTAAGACATATACCATTTCTCTTCAAACTCAATGTGTGTGCCACTACGGCATAACTAGCCCCAATGGGGTCACCTACATTCCCGGCGCCCATGGCATGCACATACACATAAACAAGAGAAGGTTTAGAGTATACCATATGGATCATCGACTAGGTCCATCCACCTATGAGATGCTTCTCTCCTCTGTGGTTTCCCGAAAATCCACGATCTCACCAATCACCAACAGAGTATCACGAGCCACTAACACGTCCCATGCACCCGATAGCATGAAGAGAAACTAGGTGGTCAGGATCGGAGCACCAAACCACTTTCCAATACATTTACAATATGTTTAATCTATGGACGGCATCCACAAGCCGGGAGCTCAGACTACAACAAAAGTAGAAGTATATAGAGAGCCAAGGGATGGGGAAAGTAAGTATACTAAGTATAAAATCTTTTACAAAGTGGGCTAAAAAACCAAAAAACATGACATAAAACCAAAAGAGATTACCACTAAGAATGACCATAATGCATGAAGGATTTTTGGGGGAGGGAAGGGCTTTTGTTGGTCGACTTGCTGGATGCAAAGTGCCTCTAATCAACGAGCTGAGGGGTTGATGGTGGATAAGGTGAACAGAAGATCCAAATATGGTTGAGGGGATGCTTCTGGGCATCCAATATGGATGTTTCGATTCTGTAAGCTATAAGATTGACATGTGGTGTCGCCTGGTCTGGAAGGGCAACATTCCTATGCAGCGACAGTTCATCACAGCAAGTATACTCACTGTGTGAGAAAGGACGGCAAAATAGGCCGCTTAGTTTTGAGGGGCAGCAATCGTCAGCAGCAGCAGTTTGACACATCAAAAGAGGTGAAATAGAGACTAGAGAGAGACAGATGAGTGAGGAGGATGAGAGTAAAAGAAAGAGAGAGTTCGCACGAACTAGTGAAGAAGGGACAAGAGGAGTGAGAGTAAAGGTTCAGAAGCTGTCAAAAGCAGAGGAAGGGGGGAGAGTGAGGGGAGGAGGAGAGTAAGAGGAAAAAGAGGATTGGAATGGGGTGAGGGTTGGGCTCAAAAGCTGTCGACAGCAGAGGAAGGGGCGGAGAGGGGGGAGGAGGAGAGTAAGTGGAAAAAGAGGATTGGATTGAGGCACGGGTTGGGCTCAGAAGCTGTCGACAGCAGAGGAAGGGGCGGAGAGGGGGGCGGAGAAGAGTAAGAGGATTGGAATAGGGCGAGGGTTGGATAGAAGAGAAGAAAGGTACGTCCAAAACACTTATCCCCCGCATAGGACACTACCGAAGAGGGTTTTCATAAGGTCATCCTTTGTTAGGTCGGAGAGATGTCTAGGGATGGTTTGTAGGCCAAGAGAGTTTTGTGGTCTCTTGCATATAAATATAGACCTGTAAGAGCAAGGGTTAAATCATCAACAAACTTTCACATGGCATATACACATGATAACTGCATTACTAGGAAGCTACCCTGAAAAGATATACATGTACATGAACATAGAGAGAACCCCTTTGCACTATAGTGGTATGTGTGTGTGACTTGCTCTTAAGAAGAGGAACTTGTAATCCACATTTTGGGACTGTAGTTCTACTATTTATTGACCAACTTTGGCTTATCGCCTTCCTCTCGCTACTCATGAGGACCTTTTTCTTTTTTTTTTTGACAAGGTTACGTAAGAATGGAACTTGGGACGTTGGGATATAAAAACCTAGCCTCTATTGTCTTGACCCAAGCACGTTTCCTTACTCATTACTACTTAGTAATTTACTGTCACAAAGTTCAAAAAGAAGATTTTTCGAAAACAAACCTCCAATATTGTAGTCAACACCACACATGCTTAACCAACTCATCTCTTCTAGATGAGTGATATAAAATATATATTATTTGTTATACTAGTTATTTCTTAGTTCTCACCAATCCGTGTTTTAAAAACCTGGTTGAGGCCACAGCTAAGGTCACTCAGACTCTTGAAATAGAAACTAAACCATGTGTTTTGCATGTCCTGATTCAAGGATGATCTGTAAGAGAAAGGAATAAAAAAGAAAGAGGGGGAAAAAAAACACCAGTTCACTTAAATCATTCACTAACATATGATTTGGATGCTTTACCTGAAATCAGAAGGGCCAAGAATGGAAATTCCAGCTCTTTATGAACTAGCCTACAAAAAAAAAGGGGGAACCAAAATAAGCCACCACAACATGTGATGTAATGCAAGTTCTTTTCATTCACTAGAAAATTGATATTGTGATCCAATGATGTGAAATTATATAAACGTAATATAATATTAGTAGAAATAAAGGCCAAATCCTGAACAGTGCAGCAAGTTCCAATATCCTTGACAAGTGCGGTCACTAGGAACTGGTTTGGTTTGCATTACATGTAAATTTGGGGGTTTTCGAGTTCCATCAAAGCACCAAGGCTACTTCAGTCAGCCAATTACCCAAAATTTCTTCATTTTGGGCCTCATATCCCAGAGCAAGTTTCATTTATTTGTATTAGTCGATCAGGCTTCGGGAGGTACCTTCTGTCATAAACTCATAAGTTGCTAAGGGTTAGTTCAAGGTTTTGTGACTAAGGATTTCTGATCCTTTCTTACAAATTGTTGTAAGGATCTTTGACTTAATGAAATGAAGTCGAATTTGATTTAGGTCTCTCTTTGAGAGCTTTTGGCCTGCGATACCTCATGATTTTCAAGAAATTATAGGCCCAAAATTCAAGGGGAAGATGAACTGCCTGCATCTTGCCTGCTAATTGTCCAAACAGAACAAAACAAAGTAACCTTACATGACCTTCTAGAACAAAAATTGTCAGGTCTCCCATTTATGGGAAGCCATTTTTTGTAAAGAGCTCCTGGTGCGTGGGAAGCCTATTTTTTGACACATTGTACACTCTTTTACTTTATAGAATAGAATTATTAACGGCTTCAAAAACAATGTCAGGTCTGAGAAAGATGGCTTTCTTCCTTGGATGGTGCCAACTTGCTCAACAATGTGCTTCCATCTGCTTCAATTATATAAACTTCTATACTGAATATTAAGAGTCATTTCTTCAAAAAGGTCAAAAAAATCTGCTTCAAGTATATATGTATTGCGTGCTACACTCTTTTTTTTTTCAAAAGAGAATCTGTAATATGTACTAAGTTATTTGGAAATGCAGAAATCAGAATGATAAAAAGAAAATTGTGCTGCCAAGTTTCTGACCAGTTCTTAAAATCCTCGGTCAGACACAAGCATGAATAGTTTGCACACAACAATAGGTAATGGAAATTGGAAATAGAAGCTAGCAAACGACCTAGCAACAAGAGCATGAGCTTCCATGTGATGTACTCCGATTATAGGTAACCTGAACTTGCCAGCAAATCTTCTAGCCTTCTGTACACCAACTACAAAGCCAAATTCATAAACAGATGGCATTAAGGTTACGCTTAAAAGTTGGTCTGACATCATGATCCACAAGCATTGGTTTATCAATTGAAGAAAGAAATTCCATTATTGGTAAACATAAGGCCATGCAAATCCATGCAAGGCCCAATATTTGTCATATTTGCAGATGTACAATGTACATGATACTAGGATGCAATAAAAACAAAGTTATTAGGATATCCTTGGCGCTATTAACAAGCACAAGTTACAAAACTATAAGAACTATGGTGTTAAGCATGCTTAGGCAAGACCAATGAAAAATTGATGTCTGGCTGGGAGTGTCATGCCACAGCTCAGGCATTCCACTCGAAAAGAACTTTGGCACAACACTGAATATTGTCATATAGCATACTTCATTGTTGCACTTATAGAAAGAGTGAAACTAATTGTGAGTATGAGAGAGAGACAGAGAGTACAATGAGGATTACCACGCAAGCAAAGGCTTAAACCGGGGCCAATAGTAACAGCAACTGCTGAGAGATCGGTCTCTTTCAGATTTGCATTCTCAAGTGCCTGCTGAACAACCTGGAAGGAACGAGAACGTAATCATGTACGAGTATATGGAGAAGGCTGGAAAATCGACAAACTTTTTGTTCATGGGACTGCTCAGTTAACAATCAAATCTGATCAATTACTTGTAATTGTGCTTACCTGATCAATTACTTGTAAATGTGCTTCTTCTGCCATTTTAGGAGCAACTCCACCATATCGTGAAAGCAAATCTGTCTTGATGACATGAAAATAGCAAATTGAGTGAAACATTGTTACTTCACTGATGGATCTTAAATCATGCAATCAAAATTCCGAAGACAAAATAACTCAATATCAATGTGTATAAAACTGAGAGAACCACTTCAAGCATAGTTGGCAAATGCACTTCTGTGGATGAAATCCTGTTAGATTGAATTATAACCTAATTTTCTTTTGCAGATAGATACATTATGTCCCTAAATTTCAAATAAGCTGAGTGTCTTCAATCTGGTTGTTGCCGTGTGCATTACACAAAACTTAAACAAATATGAACAGGAAATGAGGCAGGAAAACACTGAAGAAATGATAAAACTAATCAAATAGATTGCAAAAGCAAATTAAAATATGATGTAATAATCGTAAAATAAGTCAATGGCCAAGGGGAAAACATCAATTCACAGTTCTAGAAGTAGAACTGATGTATTCTCAGGCAATAGGATTGAGAAATAGGGCACAATAAAATGAAACTCACTCTTTTATTCCAACACAAAACAAGATACAACTGTTTTTTTCATAAGGAGGAAAGGAACAAGAGGGAATCACTCAACCTCACGTGGGAATCACTCACCACTTGGAGAGGAATCACTCACTCTCAACAAAAGCTCAAAGGCAACTATCAATTCTTGGTTGTTGGAAATGGACCCCTTTGGCAGGTATTTATAGGCTAAGGAAGATGTTTCTAGAGATTTATCAAGAACTTCATAGAGAAGGTTCCTAGATACTTTCTTAAACACTAGTTTATTGCTAGATATCTCTAGAGAAGTTTCTAGGAAACTTCCTAGGATAATGACTTAAATTGGTTCTAGGTTTTTGTGGAACCTTCAAGAACCCTTCTAGATTTAGGGATGCATCAGTCACCCCCCTTCAAAAGAACTCGTCCTCGAGTTATTAACCACGGACCTCCATATTTCCAAATTAGTCTCTTTTAATTGCTCCTCTGTTAGCCAAGCATCTTCAAATTCAGGTTTGTCTTTCCACCGCAGTAGGTATTGAGTGAGTTGTCCTTGACTGGTCATTATATTTCAGGTATCAATGATGTCAAGAATGCACTCATTCACTTGCACAGGTAAATTGTCTCGGACCTCGTCCCAATCGATAGTATCAGCTTCTCCATGATATTTGAACAAATAAGAAATGTTGAAAACTGGGCTAATCCCTTTTAGGTAACTCGAGGCGATAGGCATTTGTCCCAATGCGCTTCGGGATTTGACATGGTCCTATCTTCCAGTGTTTGAGTTTGTGATATTTTCCCACTGGGTACCTTTCACGACGGAGGTACACCATAACCAAATCTCCTTCATTAAACTCCTTTGCACGACTTTTGTCAGCAGCAGCCTTACATTGCTCATATGCCTTGGTTAACTTTCGATGAACATTGTCATGGACTTCTTTCAAATGATCAGTCATATCAGTAGCATTTGCACTAAAACGTCCAGGGTTTGATATAGGTGTCACATCCAAAATGTGCAATGGCATTCGCCCATACACAATTTCAAATGGTGTTTTGCCAGTTGAACGATTCTTTGAACTGTTATAGGCGAACTTAGCTCGTGCAAGCATATAATCCCATGACCCTGGCCGATCTCCTGCCAGGCTTCGAAGGAGATTTCCTAGAGTTCTATTGACGACCTCTGTCTACCCATCAGTTTGTGGGCGATAGGCGCTACTGAATTGTAATTGAGTGCCCATGAGTCGCCATAATGTTCTCCAAAAGTGGGTAATAAACCTTGTGTCCTGATCTGAAGTTATAGTTTTGGGCACCCCATGAAGCTTCACAACCTCTCGAAAGAATAGAATGGAAATCCGAGTAGCCTCTGTCGTAGTTTTGCAGGTTATGAAATGGGGCCATTTCTGAAAATCAATCAACAACAACTAATATTAAATCCAGCCCTTGCCTTGTTCTCAAAAGTCCCACACAAAGTCTAGGCCATCCAACCAAGGTTTTGTAGAGGTTGGTAGTGGGGTGTATAAACCAGTATTTTTTGTGCATCCCTTTGCATGCTGACAAATCCCACATCTTTCAACAAATCTTCCAACATCCCTTTTTAATTTAGGCCAAAAACCATTCTTCTACAAGAGCTTGGGTCTTGTTTTGACCAAAATGTCCCCTTAGGCCACCTCCGTGTAGCTCATAAATGAGTTTAAGTTTAAGGGAACACTCAAGTATACAAATTCGATTTCCTTTGAATAAAAAACCTTCATGGAGGATGAAATCCAAATAAGCCCCTTGAATCCAACTACCTCATATGTGAGAGTTTGAAGAAGATAGGCCCTTCGACTAAGTGCATCAGCGACCTCGTTCATAGCTTCCGACTTATGGCAGATAATGAAGGTAAACTCTTGAAGATAAGATGTCAATTTTGCAGGTCGAGAATTCAAGTTCTTTTGTGAATTTAAATAATGTAAGGATTTGTAATCCAAGTATAAGATAAATTCCTTTTGAATAAGATAATGCCCCCAATAACGAAGTGCTTGAACAATTGCATAAAATTCAATATCATAAGATGAGTATCGTACCTTGGCTGTGTTGAGTTTTTCACTGAAGAAGGATACAGGTCACCTTTCTTGGTTGAGGACTGTGGCGATGCCATTGTGTGAAGTGTCGCATTCCACCTCGAAAACCTTCGAAAAGTCAGATAGAGCTAGTACTAGGGCTTTAGTTATTTTCTGTTTTAAGAGTTTAAAACTTTCTTCAACAGCTTGAGTCCAACGAAACTAAAATTCTCGATGAACAGGAGATAGAAGGTGGTGCAATAATAGACCTAAATTCCTAATGAAGTGGCGATAGAAGGTGGCTAGCCCGTGGAAACTTCAAACTTCTGATAGAGATTTTGGCGTGGGCCACTCCACAATGGCTTTAACTTTATCTGGATCTACATGAATCCCGTCAACAGATACTATGTAGCCTAAGAAGACTATACGATCTGCCATAAAAGAGCACTTTTTCAAATTGACATATAATTTTGCTCCTCGTAAGGCTTGAAAGATCTTTCTTTTATTTTTTTCGATAAAAGTTAACTGTATTACTATAAAGGGAGATTTACAAAGGTGTTTAAACCGAGAGTCCCTCTCCAGTGAGACTCTCCAAAATTGGTTAGATGGACTGCCCTAGGTGAAACAAGATATACAATGAGTATACAAAAAATAGGCTTATAGTATTGCCCCTTTACACAGAGTCTATGTGATGCAAGTCAAAAAATAGCTGGCCGAGGACTGCTACTCCCTGGTCCCTCCATGGTTCGGGTCGAAGATGGCATGTGACCCAGCAAATACTTGAGTGTGGGCCCTAGCCCCGTCCTTTGCTAGAAGATCAGCTAAGCCGTTTGACGTCCTCAGGGTATGCGTCCAAGAGACGTCCATATCCCTGCAAATATCAGTGATCTCATCGAAAAGATACCATGGGGGAGAGGATCTCCCTGATGCCCATGAAATGATATTACTAGCATCCCCTTCCACAGTAAGGTTTTGCCCCCAAGACAAATCGAAGCTTTTCAAGCCCAATAGAAGGGCCTTAGCCTCAGCATACTGAGAATCTTGAATGCCAAGGTATTTGGAATACGTAAACAAAGTTGCCCGATGATGGTCTCTAAACACTCCTCCCGCTACGGCATGACCTGGGTTTCCCAATGAGCACCTGTCAAAGTTGAGCTTAATGATGCCTAGAGGGGGAGGTTGCCAGTTCTAAGATCTTTGAGCCTTGCGAGGACGCTTTCAGTTGTAGAGGAAAGATTTAACAGGGAACCCTGAGAAGATACGGTGATTGGAAGCCCAGAAAGTTACTAAGGACGTAACTTTGTGGAACAAGATTGTGCCTTCGGTAGCTTTTCCTTGGAAAATCCTAGAATTTCTCTCATTCCATAGTGTCCAAATGATTGTTGCCACAACAACCATCCATAGTGTTCTACCAGCCAACGCCCAGTGTGAAACAGGGTAGAAAGATAGCAAATCCTTGACTGTCGCAGGCATAACCCATTGAACTCCACAAAGCTGCAACAATTGACCCCAGATGCCATGGGTCATGTTGCAGTGAAGGAAGAGATGGGGGTTCGATTCTTCGTCGTACAGACACAAGGCACATCTGTTGAGAATGGGAATCCCTCTTTTTTGGAGCTGATCCGCGGTAAGGGCCCTCTGCGATCCTGCTATCTAGTTAAAGCACTGCATTTTGGGGGGTGCGATTGTAGACCACTCCTTTGATAACACCAAAGTGGGGTTTGAGAGGGAAAGTGGGTGGTTGTATCAGTCTTGTGTAAAAAGATGCAACCATGAAAGTACCGGAGGGAGTGAGAGACCAAATCAGCTGATCCCGCCCACGTGTTGCTAAGTAGGAGTTATGAAGGGATGCGGACAGAGAAACAAAGTGTGAGGTTTCCTCATCTGATAGATTCCTTTTGAAAGATGGGTTCCACACCCTTCGGTTTCCCACCACTGCCATTGTTTCTGCGACTGTAGCTTCTTTGTTCAGGGCTATGGAGTAGAGGGAAGGGTACATGTCCAGAAAAGGAGTGTGACAAAGCCAAGTATCCGACCAGAAGAGTACTATTGTACCCTCCTTTGAGTGGAAACGAATGAAATTCTTGAAGAAAGAAAGGGAAGAAGTGAAAGATCTCCATGCTCCTGAGGCCTTGTTGAGATTTCTCAAATCTAGCACCCAAGTACCTTCGACCATCTTATATTTATGGCTTGAAAAACCTTTCTTGCTATAGATCAAGATGTCATCAAAATATACAACCACATTTTCTCATAAAGGGGCGCATGACCTATACCATTAGCCTCATAAATGTGTTGGGAGCATTTGACAGCCCGAATGGCATTACCAACCACTCATAGAGTCCATCTTTTGTTTTGAAGGTCGCCTTCCATTCATCTCCTGGGCGGAGTCGAATTTGATGATATCCGCTTCATAGATCTATTTTTGAGAAAACTTTTGAACCGGCTAGATCATCAAGCCATGAAATTGGAAACCGATACTTGATGGTGATTTTGTTGATGGCTCGACTGTCTATACGCATTCTCCAAGACCCATCTTTCTTTGGTGTAAGCAGGGCAGGAACAACTACAGGGCTTATACTTTCTTGGATAAATCCCTTATCAACCTGCTTCTAGAGCTCTTGATGCTCAGCAGGACTTATTCGGTAGTCGGGTAAGTTAGGGAGGCTTGCACCTAGCACTAAGTCAATCTGATGTTGGATATCCCTCATTGGAGGTAGGCCCTTTGGTAACTCATCAGGGGTCACATCAGCAAATTCATCAAGCATGTCTTTTAACACCTTCAAGTACATTGTACTCCTCTCCTCATTGTTCTTTGGCTATTAACACATAAATTAAATCTTCCTTTTTTGCTATCATAAAAGCTTTAAAAGATAACAAGTTGAAATTTTTGTCTTTGAGGACTTGAAGGGTAGGAGAATCTCGTTAAGGGCCAAAGACGAACCTTGACTCCTTCTTTAACGAATGAGTAAGTGTTTCTCGGCCATCATGTACTACACCACGGTCATATTGCCATGGCCTTCCTAGAATGAGGTGGCATGCGTCCATAGAAAGAACATCGCACCAGATTTCATCCTGGTACTGCTTCCTTATGCTAAATTTAACCAAGCACCTTTGTCAACTGGAACTTCACCGCCCACTTTAAACCACCCAATTTTATAAGGATGTGGGTGCTTTTCGGTCTTAAGTTTTAATTTTTCTATCATCTCAGTAGAGACTATGTTTTCACAAGACCCAAAGTCAATGATTAGGGTACATACCTTGCCATAGGCAGTGCATTTGGTTCGGAAGATGTTTGTTCTTAACTAGTCTTAAGTAGGCTCGCTCTTAGGGGCTGTCAAGACACGCCTAAATACCAAGCTTTCTCCTTCATCAGCATGGAGCTCACTCCAAGGGGAAGAATCGTCATCCTGATCGCTATCAAATTTTGGTTCATCAACTTCTTCTTCTACTTCCATAGGGTCTAGAAGATGTAGTTTCTTCTTTGGACATTCAAAAGCTCTATGGCCCATTTCTCCACACCTAAAACAGGTGTTTGAAGGATTTCTAGTAGTAGCCATTGAGGTATTTGCATTATCCTTGTTCGGTACTTGACGGTATTGGAGGCTAGTGTTTCGTGGAGTACCTATGACAACTTTACCTTTTGAAGCCTTTGACGGGTTCCCTTGCTCTAATCGAAAAGAAAACCTCTTCAACTTTTGTTCAGCCTTTAAGGCCGTTTGGTAGGCTTCATTCATATCCCATAGGTGTACTAATGCAAGCTCATCTTGTAGCATAGGTTTTAACGCACGAACATATCTAGCTACTAATTGTTTTTCACTTGCCGGAACCTGAGCTCGGCTTAAAAGTTGGTAGAATTCTTCAGTGTAATCTTGCACACTTTGGTCTACCTTTTGCTTTAGATGATGAAACCTTTTATACACAGATTGATTGTGATCAAAAGGAAGAAAACGAGAAGTTAGTTTCTCCTTCATTTTTTACCATGTTTGTATTTTTTCTTTTCCAAGCCAAACTAGGTCATTTTGTAAGTTTACCACCAAATTAGAGAATGACCCTGAAGTTTAGTGGCAACAAACTTTACCTTTTTAGGTTTTGGTAGATCCCGCCATTCAAAGAAAGTTTCAATACTTGTCATCCAATCAACAAAATAGTCGAGGTCAAGTTTACCAGGGAAATCTTCAATATCAACTCGAATGTTTCTATAGCCTCCTTCCATAGCTTTGGCCAACCTCTCTAGGACTGATTCTTGCTGTCCGTCAACAGTTTGCACAAATGGGTAACACTATAATTTTTTTCATGGCTACTAGAAGTGTTGGAACTCCTCCCACTTCTTCGTACTTCATGAACTAAGTCCTCAACTAATGCTTTTAGCTCAGCAAACTTAGCCATGGTAGGGGTATTGGTAGCCGCTTGACCACGTCTTGCTCAACCAGCCATAGGGTCGTTAGCTCTGATACCAAATGATGTATTCTAAGACAATAGGATTGAGAAATAGGGCACAATAAAATGAAACTCATTCTTTTTTTCCAATACAAAACAAGATACAACTGTTTTTTTTATAAGAAGGAAGGAACCAGAGGGAATCACTCAACCTCACGTGGGAATCACTCATCACTTGGAGAGGAATTACTCACTCTCAACGAAAGCTCAAAGGCAACTCTCAATTCTTTGTTGTTGGAAATGGACCACTTTGGGGGTATTTATAGGCTAAGGAAGATGTTTCTATAAATTTATCAAGAAATTTATATAGAAGGTTCCTCGATACCTCCTTAAACAATAGTTTATTGCTAGATATTTCTTCAGAAGTTTTCTAGTATAGTAACTTAATTTGGTTCTAGATTTTTGGGGAACCTTCAAGAACCCTTCTAGATTTAGGAATGCGTCAAGAACTGAGGGCAATAGCAAAGAGAAGGTAATAATCCTAGATGGAAGCAAAGAGATTTTATACACATGCATATGCATATGCATATGAAGGGTTTAAACTGGAAGGGCCTGCCCCTAGAGAAGCAGAGTGGTACACTCCTAGATGTTTAAATTCCTACAACATTAGAAAGAAAATCAAGCCAGCCATGTACCGTCTGATGAAAAGATAAGAGAATCGAAGCGAGGGACACAACGAGAGGACGGTAAGAAAGTGGCTAGGAGAAACGGGGATCATTTACCTGTGAAGACACAACCTCGCTAAGAATCCTTCCATCGCTACAAACCTGATCAATTGGAAATTAAAAAAAAACATGTATATGAAAACATGGGGAGAAGAATAAAAAGGGGAAGAAAAATGGAAAAGGAGAGATGTATTATTACAATGGCAGCAGCGGTGTCATCACAGCTGGTTTCTATGCCCAGGACAGTGCTCATCAACACGGCCTCCTCTTCTCCCCCGCTGCCACCATTGTCATACCTAATTCTTACAGCGACCGAATGAGAGAGGCGTTGTTTAAGAAGAGAGTGGGAGGCAAAGGATGAGTAGTGGTGGCGGTGGTCCCATTTCGTCACAGCAGCAGCATGTTTCCTCCTCCAGCTCCCGTTTCTTAGACATAATAATAACCAGGACGAAGCCGAAGCAGAAGCAGAAGCAGAAGCAGATGCAGTGATTGGAATTGGGATGAAGCGAAGGTGAGAGAGGAGGGACACAGAGGCGAGGGGGAAGGACACACCCATCATTTCCTGACCTCCTCACCCTACTTGCAGCGCCCGACTATCTATTGCGTACGATTAGAAGGTATACCATATCTATTGCGGTTATATGATCCTCCTACATGAAACGATACTATATCTATTGCGAGTATATGTGAGAGTAAAAATTATGCTGGTACCACTTTATTTTATAATTAGCTGGATTAAGTGGGTTGAATGTAAAAATGAAATAAACAAATGTAGAAATGAAATAAACAATTATGTAAATAATAATGTGAATATGCGATAGAAAATATATGAAAATATAATAAAATCTGTAACATCATAACAATAAAACAACATCATTGTTGTCATCATCTGTGATGGAAATGTAGGCATCGTTTCTAAAGATCTTTTTAAAAATTTATTTCAAGAAAAATAAAAAATTTATTATAAACTATTTACGTGCTTTTAAATTTTTTATAGAAAACAACACCAAGTATTTCTATAATTTTTTAAAAGTGAACGAGACATTCTTTTTAAAATGCATTTAAATTTTAGTTTTTAAAAATATATAATATTTTTAAATCATTTCTTTTAATAGTAAAGACAACATAATTTATTATGTATTTCAAAATATTAAATTCAAAGTGTGGAAATGTAGTTGTTTGCATGTTGCAACTAAATAATGGAATCACAAAATTATGGCATACATGGATGAAATGCATGAAAAAATCAGTATTTAATCATTTTTTATAAATCTTAGATTAATAGAAAACTAATCGTAAGACGTTCCTGTGATTATCTCATAAATATGAGAGCAATGAGATGTGTATATGCATTAAGTTATGACAAAGAGTAAATATTTGAACAATTATCTTTTGGGCAGGGTCATCCATAATAAATATTAATCAACTTTAAAATGGACCTATGATATTCTCAGTCATGTCAAAATCTAAATATGTTGGAATGATTGGACCAACGATCAAAGTGGAAGCAAATAAACAACTAAGAACCAAGTATCATACATGAGTGCTTGCAAAATGATTTCAATGAATGAATTTGGAGATGGACGATAAACTTGTGTAGGCAAGTTCAACAACTACTAAAACTACTGAAATCGATCCCACGCCATAAAACCCGAGCGAAGTGGAAGCTCACGAATACTCTCACAAATGCGATTTGAGGAGCAGTCCAAGTTTGACTCTCTTATGCACAACTCTATCTCTTAGGGCTGGGTCTCTCCTAAGAACACAAATGGAAGAGGGATTGTACTCTCTCTCACACCCACTTGTGTGTGTTTTGTTGTGTGTAGAGAGCTCCACCCTCCCCCTTTTTATAGTGAAAAAAGGGCCCCATCATTCATGTGGGAGTAACCTTCTCATGAATGAGAACCCTAATGGTGCATGGTGCATACCATTCATGAGAGGAAAACCCCCTCATGAAGTCACGTAAGTCACTTCATGAAAGGAGTGTGATCCACTTAGTTGTGCCTCACACTAAGGACGCACCCTCATGTCTCAATTTCCCACCCGTTGCTTATGCGGGCGGGGTTACATGATCAAGTAAGAGTTGTCGTTCATTATTGCATTGTGAGTATTCTTTCATATAAAGGAAAAATGCGGTGTGCGACCTACTGGAGCAAACATTTTATTAGAGATAATCATACCAAGTTTCCAACCAACTGACATGAAACGCCTCATCTCTCAAATACCTACAGAACAAAAACCGATCCATCTGTCTTAGATCCGATTTGACCACACTAGGTTAAGTTCTCAACTAATCCCTCATGAGCCCAGCTCAGAAGATTACTTAGCCCATTCCTACACAATTACTTTCAATGTACGCGCAATATGTATTGTTTTCTTGTGGTACCAAAACAAAATGTGATATAAAATGGTATTTTTTTACGACTTACATTATTCTATTCTGACTCGGTCATTGTCCCAACAATGTCCCAGATTGAGTCTCATACCCGACCCTATGGAGTACATGCCAATGTGAATGATCAGAGCAGAGTTTCCTAATCCAATCTAAGGGATATAAAGGCATTATGGGTTACCTACTTATTAGCCTCGCATAGTGGCACAAATGAACATGGATCATATTTTTCCACACGAGTAGGTTGGTCACTAATATAACACATGTGGCAATCACATATCATGGTGGATCACATCAAATATGCGTAGGAATCCATATCATGCAGGTTATAGTCTTTTTCGCAGCTATGTAACCGGTCACCACCTAGCGCCTCACAGTCACATCCATACGTCAACGCGGACATCTTTAATGTTCAACCCTGGCTACTTATAGGCTACATGATCTTAAGATGTCAATATGAATAGATCATGTCAATTCCCTTATGGAATCTTATCTCGAACCCTTGGTCGAGGCAATAAATACTATGAGTATATCTCATCCTCCAATATCCCGAATATTGAGTGTAGCTCATGTGAATAGTGAGTTTTAACTTGTCAACGAACTAAATGATAATTTTAAAGTGAACAAACCATCCATCATAATATAAAATAACATACATATTCCATTATAATAAGATACCAAGATCCTACAGTGTGATGTAAACTCATAGGGTCTTGAGGCCCCATAGTTTTTACATAAATATGATGCGTGGCCCTTACAATTACCTTAGTTAAGATATCCATAACCATTTTAGTTGTAGGAATATGAGTTAACACCACCTGTCCATGTGTAACAATGTTTCGAATATAGTGATATCTAATATCAATGTGCTTTGGAGCTTTTGCAAAAGCAAGTGGCGATGTATTATCACAAAATACAGTGGCAGGCTCATTAGCAGTTGTGACAATACCCAAGTTCGTTAAGAATCTCATCAACCATATGCCTTATTGTGCTGATACACTACAAGTAATGTACTCAGACTCCTTAATGGAGAGAGCAACTGTAAGGACCAGAACTTTCCAGCGTGTGGAAGCACCGGCAAGTCGCCAGCACAAGTGAGCCAATGTGCGCGGCAGAGAGCGAGAGAGAGAGAGAGAGAGAGAGAGAGAGAGAGAGAGAGAGAGAGAAAGAGCCCCCGTGCCAATAGGAGAGAGAAAGTCGTCTTGCGGTCAAGCGTCATTGCCGCGCGCGACACCTCTAAGCGCATCACTACCGCAAGCGACACCGCCCAGCGCATCACTGTTGTGCACGACCATTCGGGGGGAAATTCTCTCTAGTGATCGTTGCATGCCCATTGAATTGCCACTTGACACTTGCATGCCCTCTATTTACCACTTGTAGCCCTTTGCTTGCCACCTGCTTGCTGCCTTCCCCTTCTCTGCTTATAATAAACCCCGTTCACAAACCTCCAAAAGCTTTAGCCCTCTCTCTCCCACGTCCTCCCTTCTCAAACACTTAGAACCTCCAAGCTTGAGCCACCCTTGGAAGCTTGACCTGTGTGGGGAAATTGGGGTTCTCTTGAGTGCTGTAAGTGGATATAGATTTCATGATTCTCATGTTTTGATTGATGCATGCTCGATTTGTTTATCAAATTGTGAAATTTAAGTGTGATTATGAAAGTGATGGTGGAAATGGGTGTAGAAATTGTTGCTGAAATTTTGCTAAGTGCTTTGCAAAGCATGGACTCTGTTTTTCTAAAATTATGACCCTTTTTTAAGCAATTGTTTAAGCATTGAGAATACTTCTTTTAACCATGAAATTTTGTGGGGAAATACCCCTTTGAGTCCATTTTCAGAGGGAAAATACCTCATATCAGTATTTCTTGTGATTGAAAAGTTATGAGACTTTTGCTAGAACATGCCAACTCTATGATATGAAATTCCAATAACTTTACATGTTTTTGCATAAGACTGTTCACTAATCAAATGGTATCCAAATGAGCTCAAATCATTTTTAAATGAAATATGAGTGAGTTACTTTAAAAATAGTTTTGAAACCATGCCGAAATTCCCTATGGTTGGGAAATTATGCTTATTTTTCTATGAAGGTGTTGTTGTTATGATTGTAGGGAATTTCCAGAGACTCTACATATATTGTAATGAATTGTTTACTAACCAAATCATGTCCAAATAAGCTCAAACCTCTTTCAAATGAAAGATTATGAGTCTATTTCAAAAATAGTTTGGAATTATACTGAAATTCTATGTGGTTTGTAATGTATGCCCCTTTTTTAATAAATAGGTCACTGTTGTGAATGCAAGGGTTTTCCCGAACTATTACTTGTTTTGAGTTGGACTGTTTACTAATCAAATCATGTCCAAATGAGTCCAAACCACTTTTAAATGACATATGTGTGAGTCTATTTCGAAAATGATTTTGGGACCATATCGAAACTCCCTATAGATCGGAAGTTAAGTTTATTTGTGTGAAACTATCACCCTTGAATTCCTGCTCTGTTAAGAAAAAATGAATGTTCATGATTAAAGTAAGACATGCTTATGAACTAGTGAATGCTTATGATAGTGTGAATGGGTATGATTGTAATTAGTCATGCCACAATAGAGAAAATGGAGGAAACGACAGAGCTTTAGGATAGAAATAGAAGAGTCAAGGAGGGAGCGAGAGTGATAGTCTTTTTTGAAAAACAGGTTCATACAAAGCTTAAGAGAGAGAAAGAAGTTGAGAGAGAAGAGAGAGAGTCTATCATGAAGTACATGTGTGGTAGCATATGGGATAGGAATATGAGTGGTAAAGAATAGTGTTTTCGTGGAGAATAGAAGAAGAGCGATAAAAATCTTAGTGAAGGAGAGAGAGACAGAGAGAGAGTTTCGTGAGGGGAAGCAATGAGAGAGAGGTATACATATGAATGCTTTTTTGTTAGTTGAAGTAGTGGGGGGCACCAAGGGAATCAGGAAGGTAGAGGGAGAGGGTTGAGATGGAATAAGTAAACACTCTTTTAGTCCAACATTGGGCGCGGGCTCCAAGTGCGAAGGGGTCAGGACTTATAAAAGAGAGATAAAGGGAAACTTTACACTTCATCCACATAGTGTCGAGTACGGGTCAAGGTCCCGGGTCCAACATTACCTGTCGGGGTACAAGTATGGGTATGCTTAAATTAGACCTGTCGAGCATGTGTATGGGTCCATATAAACTATTTTGGGTGCGGATACTGATCTAGCTGGACTCGACCCATATCCGACCCTTTGCCACCCCTACTTTCTACCAGTTCATAACTCATAACAAGTCTTGAGAATATTTTGATGACACTCTGTTTAGGACATATATTGTAGTAAGGAGTGCAACTCCCCAAATTGATATTGGGAGGTTGATATTGGGAGGTTGATGTGAACCATCATAGATTTCACCATGACCAATATAGTACGATTCATTCTTTTTGGAACACTATTTTGTTTACGGTTTCCTTTATTCTCACAAAGCTTTTTAAATTGATCAGATAAGCATTATCGCCCTTAATCAGTGCAAAGAACCATAATTCTTCTGTCCTACTGATTTTCAACCTCTAGCATAAAACGGCGAAAGCAATATATTGCTTGCAATTTACGCGAGATTAAATATACATACCTGTAGTGAGAAATAATCATCGATAAATGTAATAAAATAACGAGAACGGTTACGCGTCATCTCACTAAATGTACCACAAATGTCAGAATGTATCATATCTAGAAGACCAATTACTCTCTTTGCTTTTGGAAAGGGCTTTGGAGTTGATTTTCCATCTATGCATGGTTAACAGATAAGTATGTCTATTTTAGATAAAGGCAACGATCATTCTTTGGCTAATCAGATCATCCTATCTTTTTCTATATGGGCAAGCCTAGTATGCCACATCATGGAGTTGTGTATAATAAAAGAGGTGGAAAAAGATGAATATGTCATATATGTAGAAGGAAGTGAAACGTTAGTGTCATCATTATCCAAAACAAACAAGTCATCTATACTCAAGCTATAATAATGAAAACCATCCTTAAATGCGCTCTATTTTTTATAGGTGCGCCCCAATGAGAAGATTACACGTATCAAATTTCATATTTAGAAAATTTATATTAAAAAAAACTAAAAATAAAATACTTCGAGACGTCAGATCTAAGATCAAACGGTGAGTGGCTCTCTTGATAAAAAATAAACAGCGGATGGTAGGGGGAAGATAGAACTTCTATGTTGTAAGGGAAACATAAAAAGCTTTCCTTTTGTTGATATAATAAACATCTCTCTCTTGATTTTGTTGTAAATTAATTTTATTGATATCTCTCCCTAAAGTTTAAATGGAAAGCACGAAAGATGCACACTCTATATATCTCTCTCTCCCCTTAAAAGTGAGAATTGATATGGTAAGCATCTTTTTTAATTTATTCCTCTCTCTATTTAAGATATGAAAATACAAAATATGATATGTTTAGATGAGGATCAATTTTAAATTACTTAAATATGGTACATAACTCTCTTTCTCTCTCTATATATAGTTAAAATATACATAACTCTCTCTCTATATATAGTTAAAATATTGAAATGCAAACTATGGTATGTTTAGATAATGATTGATTTTGTTGTAAATTAATTTTGTTGATATGCTAGGCATCTCCCTCTCTCCTTTTCTTCTAAATGAAAAACACAGTCCATAAAAAATTGGTGACATGCTACACATCTATCTGTCCTATCTCTAAATGGAAAACACAAAAAATGCTTACTCTCTTTCCTCTTTTAAGATCTGTACCAGTGTTTAAAAAATTGGAAAACAATAAAAAATATCATTGAACCAATTATTAACTTCATGAGACCCATTTGTCTAAACTTTTTTGTTTGAGGCTTTTATATAGGTAGAATGTTTTCTCATTCTTCGATGTGGGACATTTCGTCCCATTCACCTTACACGAGATCAATTGGACCATTAGAACATATTATCTCTCTCTCTATTGTTAATTCGACCATTGGAGCATGTTAGCAATCTCTCTCTTTTGAACATTTGCCATGCGTGTACCCAAAGTTTACCGAAGGAAATTTGATGGCACACCTTACTGATGGCTAGTTCTCTCTCTTATAAATCAATGCGCTTGTTAGACTTTTCTCTCTCTCATAAATCAATGCTCTTGTTAGACTTTTTTTTGACCTAGGGATAAATGGTCTACCTATATCATGTTCTTCTATATTATTATACTATACTAGTATAATCTTATAGTATAGTACTATTATACTATAATAGTACTATTATACTAGTATAATAGTACTGCAATATAATAGTATACTATAATATTATAATAGTATTATAATAATAGTTTACTAATATAGTAGTATTATAATAATATTAGTACTACTACTATAATAGTAGTAGTAGTATTAGTACTACTACTATAGTAATACTATAATACTATTATAATGCTATAATAATAATAGTAGTAATTATAATAGTATTATAATACTAATAGTAGTAGTACTATAATAGTAGTATAATATTATACTACTATAATAATAGTACTATAATACTATAGCAGTAGTATTATAGGACTATACTACTAGTACTATTATAGTACTATAATAGTAGTATTATAGTACTATAATACTACTACTATTATAGTACTATAATAGTAGTATTATAGTATTATAATAGTAGTAGTAGTAGTAGTTATAATAGTATTATAATACTAATAGTAGTAGTAGTAGTTATACTAATTGTAATAATAGTATAATAATATTATAGTATTATACTACTAATAATAGTATTATAGTATTATACTATTAATACTATAATATTACTATAATAGTATTAGTAGTAATAATAGTAGTAGCAATAATACGACTACTTGTAGTAGTAGTAGTACTACTACTACTATAATAGTAATACTACTACTGGTAGTAGTAATAGTAGTACTACTATTGCGACTACTACTATTATTATTAATTATTATCTTATTATTACTATTATTCTTAATACTATTATTCTTAATACTGTTATTATTATTGTTATTATTATTATTATTATTATTATTATTATTATTATCATTATTAGTACTATAATAGTAATACTACTACTATAATAGTAATATTATTACTACTACTATTATTATTATTATATTATTATTATTATTGTTATTATTATTATTATATTCAATTAGAGAGATATAAAGAGTGAGTGAGCTCAAACCACTTATTACTATTACTACTACTATTACCATTACTACTATTACTACTACTATTATATAACATATTTCATTATATAACCAAAATAAACTCTTTTCAATGTAATATCTAGCCCTTATTCATACGTAAGTTTACCAGGGAACCAACATTTTCCTAGCCTCCTTTTCCACCCATATGTTATTAAAATATGGGTGTGTAGGTGGGGCATGAGGGACTCTCACCCCCATCCCCATAAAAAAATCTCGTGTCAATTTTGAGTAGGCCCTTCTTTTTAGCCGGCCATCAGGATGACGCCATGAAACGCTCTCCCAAGAGATATATAATAACAACAGGGAGAATCTTGTGTGGGTAAGAGCGACGAAAGATTCCGACACCCACTCACTCACTCTCTCTTGAAGAGAGGAAGGCAAAGTCGGTATTCAGGATGGATACGATGAATATGCCCACAAACATCGTCATCTGTCTATCCCAAGTCAAAGACAGTACAAAAACTCCTAATTTTGTTTTGCACTCGTAGATTCCACTCCTGCATAAAAACAAAAGAAAAAGGTCGCCACCAGGAGGTAATCTCATTCAAGCCCCTGGCACTCACTAAAGCAAAGCTTTTCCCTCCTCTCTCACCGTCACTCCCTAAATGGGAACTATAGCCTCATCATCCCTTTTTCAATGAGATGGAGAAGTCACCCACCATGCCAATGTTTCAACTTTGCCCATCCCTGGTTATCTTATTGAATAAATAACCTCCACACCCCTCTCTCGGTTCTGTTGGTTGCTACCTAATGATGGAAGGCCGCCTGCTACTCCGGCTGTCGTTCCTCCTCCTCCTGGTAGGAGGGGCCATGGCACTCTTGCTTCTTCTCATGCACTCTGGGACCCAAGAGGACCAACTCCTTGCTGCTGCTTCTTCTGTTATTGGAAACCACACTCTCAGAAAACAACAGAAGAAGAGTGTTCTCAGGGAGCCCCGGAGGGGTAGGGACATGTTCTTTGAGCAAGTCGACCACCAGAAGGAGGTTCCCCATCATCCCCTCGATCCCCTCACTATCCAAGAATTCAGTAAGGTAAAAAGAATACTATCCAACTACAACCCTGATACCTCCTCATCCATCCACTCCTTGGTCCTTGAGGAACCCGAAAAAGGGGAGGTGTTGGCATGGAACAAAGGGAAGAACCCCCTTCCCACCCGCAAAGCCTCTGTGGTGACCCTGGTGGGTGGGAGGTCTCACCAGCTCTCCATAGACCTGAGCTCGGGCCACGTGGTCCAGGACAAGGTAAGCACCACCTCTGGTTATCCCCCCATGACCATCGAGGACATGACTGCTGCCACTGCCATCCCTCTGGCAGATGCTGAGTTCAACAGGACTATCAGAAGTCGGGGGGTGGAGCTGGCAGACCTTGCCTGCTTGCCACTCACCGGCGGATGGTACGGGGGGCCGGAGGAGGATGGTAGAAGGTTGGTCAAGGTGCAGTGCTACTCAATGGAGGGCACCGCCAATTTCTACATGAGACCCATAGAGGGCCTTACGGTGTTGGTTGATTTGGACACCAAGAAGGTGGTGAAGATATCTGATGTGGGGAGAGGCATTCCAGTGCCCAAGGCAGGAGGTACCGACTATCGATATGAATCACAGAAGAAAAATCAACACCACAAGGCTGGGGGGCAACGCCTTTTAAACCCCATCTCCATGGAGCAGCACAAAGGCCCGAGTTTCAAGGTGGTGGAGGGGCACCAGGTCAGGTGGGGGAGCTGGGACTTCCACCTCAAGGCTGATCCACGTGCAGGTGTGATCATATCCCAGGCTTCCTTCCGCGACCCGGTATCAGGGGAGCCACGGAGTGTGCTGTACAAAGGGTCTGTGTCTGAGCTGTTCGTTCCCTACATGGATCCCTCCGATGCTTGGTATTTCAAGACGTATATGGATGCTGGAGAATACGGATTCGGCCTGCTGGCCATGCCTCTGGACCCTCTCAATGACTGCCCTCGCAACTCCTATTACATGGATGGTGTCTTCGCCAGCTCCGATGGAACCCCCTATGTGCGTGCCAACATGATATGCATATTTGAAAGCTATGGGGGCGACATAGCATGGAGACACACCGAGTGTCCCATTACTGGTATGCAGGTAAAAGTGATGTTGCTGCTCGTGCTTGCTCATGTCTGTTTTTCTTCACTTCTTTCTAGTGCCCCAGCAACGCATAGTATAGCAATCAATATGAACTTGCTCCTCTTTGTTTCCTGTTGCATTGACAAACTTGGGCACAATGAAACAACAACAAACAGATCCGAGAGGTGAGGCCAAAGGTGACCCTGGTGGTGCGTATGGCTGCCTCAGTTGCAAACTATGATTATATCGTGGACTGGGAGTTTCAGACTGATGGGCTCATCCGTGGAAAGGTAGGTGGTATTGTACCATGGCCCTAGAGGCCATTCTCCATGGTAATCTCAACTTTCACCTTAAGGCATATCCACCTATAGCTTTACTTGGTGCCTATCCTTTCCTTATCTTACGCATCCATCTCAACACTTAAATTTCCAATAAACAATGCGCAGGTAGGACTGAGCGGGATTTTGATGATTAAAGGTAGCTCTCACGAGAGCGTCCCCATGAGCCGAGGAGGAGGAAATGAAGAAGAGGACTTGCACGGGACTCTGTTATCTGAGAATGTAATTGGTGTGATCCATGACCATTTCATCACCTTCTACCTTGACATGGACGTGGATGGCTCCAACAACTCATTTGTGAAGGTGGAGCTCGTGAAGCAGGCGACAGAAGCCGGAGAGTCCCCTCGCAAGAGCTACCTCAAGGCTCGCAGGAGTGTTGCTAAAACAGAAAAGGATGCCCAAATCAAGCTCGGCCTTTATCAACCATCCGAGTTCCACCTCGTCAATCCCACCAAGAAGACCAGGGTTGGAAATCCCGTTGGCTATAAAGTGGTGCCTGCTGCTACAGCAGCCAGCCTGCTGGACCATGAGGATCCTCCGCAGATGAGAGGTTCATTCACGAACAACCAAGTGAGTCCTCTCCCTTTTACGGTCTCCATTGGTTTTGTTTCTCATGCTCCCATTTTTTTAACATTTTCATCCTTGCCTTGGGCTATCAGATATGGGTTACTCCATACAACAAGAGCGAGGAATGGGCTGGTGGCCTGCTTGTCTATCAAAGCCATGGGGATGATACCCTGGCGGTCTGGTCAGAAAGGTACCAAGCAAACCCACGACACTTAGTTTATTGTCCAAAAGTGAGTCCTGAATTAACAAATTAATGGTCTTTGACAGGAACAGGGAGATCGAGAACAGGGACATTGTTCTATGGTATACGCTGGGTTTCCACCACATACCATGCCAAGAGGATTTCCCCATCATGCCTACTGTCAGTGCAAGTTTTGATCTGAAGCCCGTCAACTTTTTCGAAGCCAATCCTATCCTTGGGATGCCCCCCAACTTTGAGATGGACCTTCCTGTTTGTGCTGCAGCTTCTTCCTCTGCTTATGGAAGTTGAAGACAGTCCCGCTTGTGTTGTGCCTTTTCTCCTTTGCATAAAATAAAGGGTGCATGTAGATGCATGGGTGCTCCCATATGTGAAGCAGCTGTATATATAGATGATGATGGTAAAATATGTCCCTGAAAAATTTGACCCACTCCCACCTTTGTCATTAATTAGTAGCAAATATAGCTAATAAGTTTTTTTAGTGACTTGGGGATAAGGCATAATCCAATGAAGTGTTCCCTCCCAATGGCTTTTATTAAAAGATCCTAATGATTGGATGGAGGGATGGGGCAATATTGTTGAGTGCCAATTGGTACATAATAGAAAATCGGCTGCCAAAACCTAATGCTATTGAATCATGACTTAAAGATTTAGAAACAAAAAAGGGGTTTATAAACTGCGTTGGTGCAAGGAAAACAAGATCCAGTGTGATTCTAAAATCATTCAGTTTTTCTTTGCACCTGATAGTGCGTTAATACCTTTTACACTAGATCAATGTTCAAAAAACCCCAGGCAGGCGCGCCCAGGCGTTTTGGAGCGTGACCACCACCCAGATTTATGGATACATGACATTACAATCATACAACAGATTTATGGATACAAAGAGTCAAAAAAATTACTAGATAACAATCACACTAATTCATCACATTTTCAAATTGAGTCGTTCTGAGTGTCATTTGTTATACTCAAAGTTTTCAAGATAAATTTCTCCATCATTGTGATACCCCAAGCCATCCAATCTGAAATTTAATAGCTCACAACAATTATAACCTCCTTTAAAGGTGAATGGTATGATAGCATCAATGGACGAAAATTCGGCTTGCCGCCTAGGCGTCATTTTTTGAAAAACGCCTAGTCATAAACTAGGCAGCCTATCCTATTCGGCTTTTGCTAGGCGCCTGCCTAGACAGTGTAAAAGGCAGACGCCGCCTTGACATGTACTTTTTTATGCCACTTGTCGAATTATTAATTTATTGGTAATAAAAAATAGTATTAATTCATAATTGTTATCATATAGTAAAATAGGTGGAGGTGTGGGGATCCAACTAACAAGATAATACAAACTGCCTTTGGGTTTGGATGCCCGCCTAGGTGGCCGCTTTAACGCCTAGGCGGCCCAGACACATATAGCATAAGCATCATGATACCATCATTCACATAGTAGGTATCCATTCAAATATAGCATAAGCATCATGATACCATCATTCACACAGTAGTTATCCATTCACATATAGCATAAGCATTATGATACCATCATTCACACAGTAGGTATCCATTCATATATAGCATAAGCATCATGATACCATCATTCACAAA